GACGTAAAGTTCTTGGGAATAACTTTAGATGAATGTCTAACGTGGCATAAACACTGTGGTCAATTAATTTCAAAATTAAAATCACTTTGTTACCTGTTTAGAAATCTGCATACTGTTTTGACTGCAGATCAGTTAGTATTGGTATATCATGCCCAGGTTTCCTCCAGGTTGACATATGGCATATGTCTATGGGGTAATTCCACTCGATCGTCGGACGTATTCATTGCACAGAAACAAATTTTAAGGTGCATAGCTGGACTCTCTCATAGGCACTCCTGTCGTGAACTTTTTAAAAAATATAATATTTTACCCCTTCCATGTTTGTTAATTTTCGAGCTGTGTGTGTTTATTTTTAAAAATAAAAGCAATTTCGTTTTAAGTGAACGAGTGCACGGTCTAAATACGAGACAAAGAGATCATTACTTTATTCCAAGTTATAAATATAATGCAACAATTAATTCACCTAACTTTTTAAGCAAAAAAGTTTTTAATAAATTACCAGTACATATTAAAAATATAAACAATTTAATCTTGTTTAAAAAACAATTAAAACTTTATCTTCTGGATAGATGCTTTTATAACTTGAGCTTATTATTATTATTATTATTAATAATTACCTTAAAAAATCTTTAGTGATAGTTTTCGGATGTCCTGTATACTTTTTTAGTTACATATTATTGACAAAAGATAAGCAATTTTAAGAGAGAAACTGATTCATAGGAAATATTTTAATGAATTTTATAGCTGCAACAAACTTATATTATTTCCTGAATTCCTATTACCAGAAGATTCAATTTTATTATCGAAAAGAAGATGGCTGCATAAAATATTTATGCCTTATTCCACATGTTCGAATTCTTTGGCCGTCCCTCTTTGAGATTATCGAGCATAAATACTATACTGTAAGTGGTCCTATAATGAGATTCCTTGTTCCTTCAATTTCTTAAGCTTTTCCACATTCCTCTAATAATATTGTAGGATCAAATTTGCAGAATTCCGGAATATCCCGCAACCACTTAGTAGATTCCTTATCAGAAATTATGTCAGTTTGTCGTACACTAAAAAGATGAAAATATTATTAGTTTCTAGATGTATCAAGCTTTTGTCGCTGTCAAAATATTTTAAAAAAAGCCACCACTGTAACTTGTTTAATTTTCCTACTGAAGGATACAGATAAAGTCCTGTTTTTTAATGATAAACCCTCTGTTTTAATTAAATGGGCCCAGGTAACGTGTACTGTAAAAAATGAACAAGGATTTTGTAAGTTATTATCAGTGGCGGCTCTTCATTTCTGTAACAAAAGCCGGGACGCGTGGTTTTTTATTTATTAGTTCTGGGAACGGACGGGCCAAAAAGTAAAATATTTCAGTCAACACTAATTTATCTCAAGTAGGTTAGCGTCGCCACAAGGCTGTCCTTCGGAGAAGGCCTTATGAAATTTAGCAATATTTTTTAACAAGTTCACTTAGACTGTTGGGGCCACGTGTTGAGCATCTGATATGAAGAGAAAAATCGATATTTCAAATAACGCGCGAAATGCATTCCCAAGAACGTAGGAATTCCAAGAATAAGTTGTTAGAAGTTGTGAGAAAAAAATAATAATTGATGAAATAACTGGTTTTTAGGCAGATTAAATGATTGACTAATCCGTCCCATATTGCTACACGGAGTCACTAGAGGAAGGCTAGCGTTATTTGTAAGTCCAGTTAGTCACATAATTATTTATATAAATGTAAATTCAGTCTATTAGATAACTATTAACATGGCATAGTTATGCCAAAGCGTCCCGATATCCGGGTTCCCGCCAGTAAGATAAGAACAGAAACGTCTGGATCCAAGAAATGGGCGTGTCGAGGCGAGGTGTCGAATTCAGAAGAGATATCCGAAAAAACGGGCAGTGTTTCCTTGGGTCCCACATTGAGCAGTCTACTTAGTTTTAGAGTCTCGGGTTAATTTAATAATGGATAGTCATTCCAAATTTTGCTATGGATCTCGCATTCCCTGAATCTCGGTACACTGTCTCGTTTAAATGAATCAATAATATCTGTTCGCGTTTGTTGTGTTACCGTTGTTTTGTTTGTTTTGTTTTTATTGTTATTAAAACCGTTCCTGGAAAGTTTTGGTGTTTCCTTGTTCTTCCAACTTAAGTATCACTCTATACAATCAACCACTGGATTACCTTGTACATGAGCGACATACGGTAAGTGTCTGGTATTCATTCTCTGAACGTACAACATTTCTAAGTTCCCACGTATTAATTAAAGTGTAATGATAATTACAAACTCCCTTTCGAGAATTAAATAGTAAACTCTTTTGAAATCCGGACTCGTTATGATACTGGTCATAACGGTAGATAGATAACACAGCCCCACAAAAAAAAAGTATCGATTCTGGTATTCAGACCCATGTATTTCCATGTATTTTTTCCGCTGAATCCGAGTCTGCCTTCAGATTTGGTCCAACGGGTCTGAGTTTTCGGGAAAATTCAAAAATCAAATTATTCTACCAGCTCAATAGACGTATGATTTTTCACTCGTTTAATTCGAATTTATCATCATAGAGTCAGACAAGCTGGTCCAATTTCATTCAAAAACAGAAAATAGATTAAAAACGCCATTTTCATTGCATAATTCGTGTTGCAGAGTTCTGGATCCATCTTTTTATCCACCCACCCATTTATGAATTCATACATCTTTCTATTCAGTCGTTCATGCTTGAATACGCATATTTCTTCATTCACCTGTACCACCTATAAAACCCACCCATCCACCCATCTTTCCATCTACTTTTTGTACTGAGAGATGAGATAACAGCCTAGAAGATTGAGAATGCAATAAAACTTGTAGAATACTAATGAACAAAAGAAAACGATATCTACAAATCATTCTTATTTTTGTTGCTATAACGTGTTCTCTTTTCTTCAAAGGATCTATGCAAAGGCTTACGGTTTCGTTTGGTCCTTCTATTTTTCGTTTCTTTTTAACAACCAACAAAAATCGGCCATCATGTTTTCAAGCCATCTTCCTTGATATCGCTGTTCTATAACCTTCATATCCTGATGAAATCGTTCGCCTTGTTCTTCACTATAATCTCCAAGATTTTCAGGAAACCAATCCACATGTGAATGAAAGAAGTGCAACTTGTAGTTCATCAAACATCCCAGATCTTGGAAGTCTTTTATCATTTTTGATACAATTTCTTCGTATTTAGGACTCTTCTTGTTTCCTAAAAAAATTGTCGCTACAGTTTTGAAACTAGTCCAAGCACTCTTCTCAATGCTACTCATTGTAGTGATAAATGTTGCATCCTTGAACAATGTCCTAATCTGAGACCCATCGAATGCACCTTCTTTCAATTTCGACTCATCGAAATACATGGAAATACATGGGTCTGAATACCAGATCCGATACTTTTTTTTTGTTAGGCTATGTAATTAAAGAAATAACCCCTCAGGTTACACTTCCGTACCAGGGAGGCGGAAAACTTTAGCTACAAAATATTGAAAAAAAAATCAAATATAATTGGGTACTTTCATTTTAAGTACTATTGAAATATAGGGAAAATGTGGTCAACATTATTTTTTATAATGAAAGTTCGTTCTCCTGGAGCTTAACAGGACGGTAGTCAGATTACGAATCAAAGTATTAATATGTTTACAGAAAATATATCGCAACATAGTACTTTTACCAAAGAGCAATGCTAAGTAGTGGATAAAATACCTATATAAATTTAAATGGCACCACTTACCCGATAAACCTTAGTGTTGAGACAAGGCTTCCGTGGCATATTGGAGGGAATTAAAACATATTACTACGTGCTTTTTTTAAGTTTTCTTTAGTGAAACAGCAGCATTTATCGCTTAGTATTAACTTATGCAGGGAAAATGACCGTTCAACGTCTACTGTTGACAACGGACAGTATGAGAAATTGTTGAGGCATGAACTATATATTAATATATTTGCTGATAACTCCTGATATATACCAGATAAAACTTTACATATGTATGTTTTTCAAAATGGTGTATCCTGGTTTTTTTTCAACACTCTGCATTTTTTCTTTTATCGTACTACTGACTGGGCGTATATTATTGGCATCGTATATATCTTTTGGTACATCATCCATTATATCAAATTGTTCATTTAGGGATAGTCCATGTGATTTCAATTTATTTACAGAATTACGGAGCTTGGGGAACTAGTTTGTTTAATGGAATATTGCTTGAAAGAAAGACATCCGTAAGTTCATAGAAAAATAGAGACTATCCAGCGCTGGACGAGGCATGGCTCTTCAAATGTCTTGTCACTTTAGTTTTGTAACAAGAATTTATAATGCGTTCACACACAGTACAGGTCATTTCCTTTAATACGTATATCCCTGTAACCTTCGGGGTCACTGTTAAACCACATTTGAAATAATTCCCGTCTATTTCTTTTCTCTTTTGGCATTTTACTTCACCTCTCCCCCAACTAATAGTTGTTATTGTAAAGGATGTTACTATTTATAAATAAGGAAAAAGGAAAGCATCGACGCGGCACTAACTACTACAAGGTTCCGTAAATAACTGAACAATTCAAAACGCGAGTCAGCTGTGAAGGCCAGCGACCCCCGGGCCGGCTCTGTTAGACTCTGCACTTGCACTAAGTCTAGCTATTTTGTAGATTATCAGCTCATTAATCTTACAGACAACTTTTTATATAGCATTAAATTGTAGTCCTGCCTTTTTTAGACAATTTGTTTTTGATTAATGTCAATATCTCCGTTATTAATGGAGATACACAATGAAATTAAATCGTACCGGTGGAAATTTAAAAACTTAGCAGGTAACGTTACATATGCCTTTTTCCTTTGTTAAATATCAATACCTTATGCATTTTTAATAGAAATAAAACTGATATGTTACATATTTAATAAAATAAATGTTGAGAAGTTATATTTTCGTATGAGTCGTAATATTATACTCAGGATATACAATAAATGGAAAATAGTGCAATATATTAAAACTAAATCTGCGTCTCGAGAATACGTTCATGCTTCCTTTTGATTTCTGATATCACAGACGTCGGTAGTAGCAGATGTATATCGACAGTATTCTTCCACCACCTGAACCACGGCAAGAATTGGTCCTTGATTATCAAATAAATAGTAACCGCATAGCCCATACCAACCACTACTAAAAAGATTACGATTATGGCCTTCATCCAGTTCTTCTGAAGACCTATTTTCTTGCCTTCTATTAAAAAATACTCCATCCCCATAGCACAGGACACAATCAGTCCAATCGTGACCAGAGTTAGAGTAACGGCTATTAGCAAATCGGATTTAAAGTGCATCCTATTCCTAGGATGGCCGATCCAGAGCCAGAATCCTTCGCACAGCTTATATCTTTTGGTCGATGTGGCGTTGTATTGGTACAAACACAGTTCGCAGTAACTCCTGCTCGATTGGTTTAACCATCTCTCCAGACAAGATAGATGTACGTATGCCAGGGATCCCTTGCAGTTGCAGGGTGATATAAGACCTTCGTTCACTGTGTTTGTGTGACAAATCCTACACGATATCGACCCTACTGAGTGGACGTTCTTGGATGACTTTTCTAGGGACTCTTTTGACATCGCATAAGACAGAGTTCTGCTGGATTTGTTGTCTGATACTCTCAAATTTTCCGCGCTAAGTGCGGGCTGGATATCGTCTGACATTTTGCACTTGTGGTCATTTTGACATTTGTCATTTATGACAGCAGTGGTTTCTAATAACTACAGTATTTACTGAATTCTACAGGGTGTATTTAAATGGAGGGGCACAAATGATACCAGAGATTATTTGGGTGAAAATAAGTCGATTTAACCTAACATACCTATATCCCATGTCGCATAATAAATAAGATACAGGACGTCAAAGTGAAAAATAAAAAATGGTTTTTCCTTAATAATTTCTATAATTTTAGTCAGAAATGTTTCAAATTTTTAACAGAGAGGCTTTTTAATGATGGGAAAAATAATATAATAAATATTTTTGAGTGTCGAGTACGAGGCGCCCATTGCAGGCAACGTTATGCATTGAATGTGTAGTACCTTTTTTGCCAACCCCCGTATACAGCTTTCAGTAACAAATTATGAAATATTGGACTTTTTTGGACTAAATTATGAAATTAAAAATATCTCTTCAACGGTTGGCTTTAGCCATTTTCAATAAGTATACCTTTTTTGTTCAAAAAACTCTAATATTTCATATTTTGTTTCTGACTAAAATTATAGGAATTATTAAGGAAAAACCATTTTTTATTTTTTACTTTTGACACCTTTTTTATTATACGACTTGGGATATAGGTATGTTAGATTAAATCGACTTATTTTTGCCCAAGAAATCTCTGGTATCATTTGTGCCCCTACATCATCTTCATGGTTTTTGAAAACAAAGAGAAAACTATATTTGGAGATGAAATATTATTAAGAGAAAAAGTATTTAATAAAAATAGTCAGAGAAACTTACATTACTAAGTATGTATTAATAGCTCTCACTCACTGCTGATAGAAAAATTTTGATAAAATCGCATGTAGACCGATCAAAATAACTCATTTAGAGGGAAAAAAAAAGAAATTTGTTAGCTGGACTTTTATAAGTGGAAATGGTAAAGGGGCTTTCGGGCGAAAGTTGACGTCAAAAAAAAAGTATCTAATACAAAAGTTGTAGATCATGCAAAAATCTACAACTTTTGTAGAGGTCATTTTTTAACATAACCTCATAATTTCCGAGAATAATGCGAAAAACAGTTTTTTTCTTATTTTTCGTGTTTTATTTCTCATTTCCGCAAAAATAATTCAGGTTTGACGAAACTTGGTGAAAGTATACCTTTCTGTCTTCAATAACCTCGAATTTTTTTAGATAAAAAAATCAATATATATATATATATATAAAGATACAGTTCAACAATATAATCAATAACCGTTATTATTCTAGCCCACTCACTAAATCAGTTTTGAAATACGCGAAACTATTTATTCGTGCTACTGCTTACTTTACTCCTAAAAGTCTTAACTACTCGCTCTACTCATATAGTATCTCCCGAGAATTTACACAGGAAGTTATACTGTTCACAAACTCTACCAAATTTAAATTCAAAGTCTTTTTTAGGCCTTTTCCTATTGACAGTTCAATGTCCCACACACTTTCTAGTCTTTTCCTACTTACCCGCACTACTACAGTCAGTTTACAGTCCACCGATGAATCTCGCCTCGTCGTGGTCACTCACAATGATTTAAGACAAGTTAGGTCAGTTATNTCTACTACAGAATTAAAAATGACTAGATTTTGTCATAAAAATAGCAGCGATATATTTAAAAAAAATTAATTTGATGATGGCCCCTCGAAGACGAAAAGTCGGATTGCAAAAATGTTGTCGCCATTGGATAGAGCGAAAAAAATGGCAATGTAAATATGCAATTTATTTAAAATTCGTTTTCAAATAAAGCCAGAAAAAAATTAAACGATTTTGCAAAGTTTCGGGTTTTCGGATTTCGCGTCAACAGTAGACTTTGTAGTTAATACTTTGTATTGCTGAAATCTCAAATCATTCAGAGATAATTTATCATCTGTGCATTTGTAATTCGACTTAGATGCTTATAGCGATACTGTACAAAAATAAAGTTTTGGGTCAAACAATGAGACACAGTTTTTTAAATTTTTTCCGTAGAATTGAATGGTGTAATCAGTTTTTGAATGTTTTTTAATTTAAATAAACTATCAACAATAACTGAAAAATTCATTGTTGCAAGTCATTTTTTATTTCTTTTTTTTGCATTTTTGAGCATGTTTTAGAACTCTGTACGATGATTTTTTTAAGTAGAATTTTTCTTTAAAAAAAAAAGTGTTTCAGGCCGAAAAAAATTAATATCTCAGAAACTTCTTGATTTTTTTATCTAAAAAAATTTGAGGTTATTTAAGACAGAGAAAAGTATACTCTTACCAAGTTTCGACAAAATTAAATTATTTTTGCGTAAATGAGAAATAAAAACGAAAAATCAGAAAAAACCTGTTTTTCGCATTTTCTCTGAAATTTGGAGGTTATGTTAAAAAGTGCCCTCTACAAAAGTAGTAGATTTTTGCATGATCTACAACTTTACTATCGGATACTTTTTTGTTTAACATCAACTTTCGCCAGAAATCCCAATGATACAATTTTTTATAACTTCAACCCCCCAAAAAAACCCTCCGCCGCCCCTGCTCACGCATTTATTTTTTTTAGGTTTATTATAAGCCCTTTTACCATCTCCACTAATAAAAGTCTGGGTAACAATTTTTTTTCTCCAAGTGTAATTTGGTTGGACTATGGAGTCAAGATAGTCATCAGAAACAACATACGAAAAGTTAGCAACTGAAATTTTACATAAAAAATGTTACTAAAGTTTTTTTCTAAAATGCGAATTGAGGGCTGTAGATTTTTTTTTTTCTAACGTACGAAAATTGAGACGGGCGACCCCCAAGTATAGCCCTCGAAGAGCGCACGGCCCCGAGCGCGCTACACTAAATTTGTTATAACTTTTGATCTAATTGATCAAATCGACCTCACAAAAATTTAAATAAAAGAAGAGTCATCCGGCTATCAAAATTTTATGTCTTTAAACTTGAGAAAAAAAAGTACTATATGTATGTAGTACGTATACAAAGTTACGTAATTCTATAATTTTGTACAATAATAATAAAATAGCTGTCATTCTTTTAATTTTTAAAATAAATATCTGTANTAATAATTTTTTTCGTTTTGACATATACTTTTTGATGAAATAAAAAAATTTGTAATCACAGTTCAAAAACATGCTCAAAAATGCAAAAAAGTAAAAAATGACTTGCAACAATGAATTTTTGATAATTTGTTTATATTTAAAAAAATCAAAATCTGAATACACCATTCAATTGTACGGAACAAATACAAAAAAAAACTGTCTCATTGTTTGACCCAAAACTATTTTTGTACAGTATTGCTATCAACGTAAGTCGAATAGTGAATAAATAAAATAGATAATAATTTTTTTCCGTAGGATCGATTATGTACTTATTTTTTTTAAAGTTTGATGAATTCATAGACATACAGTGTGTCCAAGATGAGGATGGGATAGACATTAGGATCTAGGAAACGATTCCTTCATGATGAAGATGAAGATGAAGGAAACGATTAGAGATACGAGGTGGCTCAGATTAGAAAAAAGTTGTGTTTATTTATACCTAACAATATGCCGTTTAGAAAGTTTTAAAATTCTGGGTAGTTCCGAAGATATCCAAAAAAACCCGAAATTTTGCAAAATTGTTTAATTTTTTCTGGCTTTATTTGAAAACGAATTTTAAAATAAATTACATATTTACAATGCCACTTTTTTCGCTCTATACAATGGAGTCAACATTTTTGCAATCCGACGTTTCGTCTTCGAGGGGCCATCATCGCGTTATTTTTTTTAAATACGCGCTGCTATTTTTATGACAAAATCTAGTCATTTTTAATTCTGAATTAGAGGATATTACTATAGTAATCGCTTAAAAAGTTTTTAGCTTGTTTTAGCTATAATTTAAAATTTTCCTGAGTACGACTCTGAACGCTTTCAAAATATCTATTGGATGAAGTCATAACAGTATAAAAGTCAATACCGCACAAAATATCCAACAATTTTTTACTACTATTAGCAATACTAATTAGAAATAATAAAATATTTCATAAGTTCGTATTATTTTTTTTAGGTACAACTTTTTAAATTATGGATAAAAAAAAATTGTTGGATATTTTGTGCTGTATTGGCTTATTCTCTCCTCTCTCTCTCCCTCCTCCAATAGATACAGGTATTTTGAAAGCGTTCAGAGCCGTACTGAGAAAAAATTTTTAATGATAGCTAAAAACCTTTTTTAGCGATTGCAATAGTAATATCATCTACTACAGAATTAAAAATGACTAGATTTTGTCATAAAAATAGCAGCGATATATTTAAAAAAAATTAATTTGATGATGGCCCCTCGAAGACGAAACGTCGGATTGCAAAAATGTTGACGCCATTGGATAGAGCCAAAAAAATGGCAATGTAAATATGCAATTTATTTAAAATTCGTTTTCAAATAAAGCCAGAAAAAAATTAAACGATTTTGCAAAGTTTCGGGTTTTCGGATTTCGCGTCAACAGTAGACTTTGCAGTTAATACTTTGTATTGCTGAAATATCAAATCGTCCAGAGATAATTTATCATTTGAGCATTCGTAATTCGACTTAGATGTTTATAGCAATACTGTACAAAAATAAAGTTTTGGGTCAAACAATGAGACACAGTACTTTTTTATTTTTTTCGTAGAATTGAATGGTGTAATCAGTTTTTGAATGTTTTTTAATTTAAACTAATTATCAACAATAACTGAAAAATTCATTGTTGCAAGCCATTTTTTATTTTTTTTGCATTTTTGAATATGTTTTTTAACTGTTATTACAGATTTTTTTTATTTCCCCAAAAAGTATATGTTAAAATGAAAAAAATGATTACCGGCAGAACTCTGTATGCTACATAACTTTGTTATTTTAAATGGAACACCGTATATATTATTGCATTTTTTAATTCCTTGGTTAATATTAGATAGAGTTTATTAAATGTACATGGTGTTTAAAACTTACCGTTTTCGAGATAATCAGTTGTTTTTGAAAAAAATCACGATTTCAGCTCTCTAAATTA